TTATATATATATATATATATATATATATATACAAACATAATATAACTTATATAATTTGTATTTTTAAAGAATTATAATTATTTATAATTTTTTAGGAGACGGTATTCAACAAGTCGTGATGCATTGGAGGTTCGGCGGTCCTTATCCAAAAACCGACCAGAAATCAGTGTTACAAAAGCAATTTGTGTGACAAAGCATAAAAGTGCAAAATTATATTTTAAGACATACTCAGAAGCTTTCTTATCAGTGGACTATATATCCTTGGAAGAAAGTAGACATTCTTAGTGACACTGAAAGTACAAGTGAAAAATATAAAAATTGGGGGGGCTGTTTGACCGATGGACAAACGGAAGATGATGCCCAAACGCCCTCGAATGGATAACCTGAGGGGTCCTATTGCAAATGGACCCATTCAGACACGACCACTAGTAGCTTTGTTAGATGGTCGAGATTGCTCTATAGAAATGCCTATTCTTAAAGATGTTGCAACAGTAGCCTTCTGTGATGCACAATCTACATCAGAAATTCATGAAAAGGTGAATCATTTAAAATGAAAATATATGTTATTAAAATTTATTTGAATTGAAAATAGATAATAAATATATTTTGTTGTTTGTAATTATTTTTCAAGATATAATTTTTCTATAGGTATTAAATGAAGCAGTAGGTGCATTAATGTGGCACACTATAATTTTGACAAAGGAAGATCTCGAAAAATTTAAAACATTACGGATTATTGTGAGAATTGGATCTGGAGTAGATAATATAGATGTCAAAGCAGCAGGTGAACTCGGCATCGCTGTGTGCAATGTGCCTGGATATGGTGTTGAAGAAGTAGCTGATACTACTCTTTGTCTCATTCTAAATTTATATCGACGTACATATTGGTTAGCAAACATGGTGCGTGAAGGGAAAAAATTCACAGGTCCAGAACAGGTAAAAATTTCGAAATATATGTAATGCTATATAGAGTTTATGATTTTGTCCTTAGAAGGAATATGAATTTGATAAATTGTATCTAAACCTAATACAATTATACAAATAGTTATGTTTATATTATATATTGACCGAACATTACGCATAATTGTTATCTATTAATATCATGTAGCATTGTATATAATTAAAAGAAAGAAGAATTCTTGCTCTTGTATTATCCCAAGATCAAACTATTGAATTCTATTTTCTCTTGTTTCATGAAATCATTAGAAATTTAATATTTGATCTTATTCAGGTTAGAGAAGCTGCAACAGGATGTGCAAGGATACGGGGTGACACACTTGGAATAGTTGGATTAGGTAGGATTGGTTCTGCAGTTGCCCTGCGTGCCAAAGCCTTTGGTTTCACCGTGATCTTCTATGATCCTTACTTACCAGATGGAATTGAGAAATCTCTTGGTCTTAACAGGGTCTACACATTACAGGTTTGATATTAGTCGTTTTTTTTTAATAGTATAATATTTTAATTTTAATAATATTTATATTATTTTATAATTATGTTTTATTATAGGATTTGCTATTCCAGTCAGATTGTGTATCCTTGCATTGTACCTTGAACGAGCACAATCATCATTTAATTAATGAATTCACTATCAAACAGGTATTACAATTTTAATTAAAAAATTTTTTTAGAAATACTTTTTTTCTTACACTTTCATTCTCTCATAAGAATTAAATGAATACAGATGGTTTATTATTTTCTTTCAAAAAATGGCAATTAGTATAAATTGTTTATACCTTAATCATTCTTTATTATAGATGAGACCTGGCGCCTTTTTAGTTAATACAGCAAGAGGTGGTCTGGTTGATGATGATGCCTTGGCCGCAGCGTTAAAACAAGGCAGAATTCGTGCAGCAGCACTAGATGTACATGAAAATGAGCCATACAATGTTTTTCAGGGTCAGTGCTCACAGTGTGAGTTTTATCTATCCATATCTAACCTTCTCTCACGTGATTAATGTTTCCCTTCATCGTCTAATTTTCTTTTGCTATCGGATAACATAAGCTTATACGACAGAGGTAACGCTTGACAATAAAAATAACTTTCTAATCTATGTAACAATACCGATTATTTTCATTCATTTATAGTGCCATAAAATATTTATTTTTTATTATAAATAGAAATTATTTTGAAATGATAGAAATTATATTATAAAATAATTAAATTAAATCTTAATTTATATATTATATATTATAATTTATATATTATAAAAAATATATAAAAAAAAGTAATTTTTACATTAAGAAAAGTGGTAATTAAGAAATAAATAAATTATTATTGATGAATTATTATAATGCTATTATATTATTATGTATTTTAAGTTAAAAGTTAAGAAATACTGTTTCTTGAAATATACTATATAATGCTCAGAAATGCTATAATTTGATGACGATTTTTTAATGATTCATTGACGTAGTATATTCAATTCTAATGAATTCATTAATAAATCATATGTATTGTACAAGTTATTATAAGTTATTATATTTATATATAAAAATAGATATTATATTATAAAAATA